CACTTAAAACTGTCACCAGACTTAATCTTACCAAAAAAATATTTTATAGCGTATTCTTTTTTATAAATATTTATACTTAATAGTAGTTTAAAACAGTTTTATTATAAGTATAAATAATAAGTTATCATGTCAATATTATCGATCTAGTTTATAATTCTACAGATAACTCTTAAACAGGATATAATTAGAAACGCGTGATAGTATAAGTTAACACGAGCATCAATAGCACCGTCTGTCAAAACATCAATTTCCGGCCATAAACATATCCTTGTCTAATTTAATAGAACAATTTATTTCACGTAGATGTGCATATATACACAATGCCAAAGCAGTACAACGTTTTTATATTATATTAATTTACTACTCGTAGTAGTTCGAAAAGTAGACCTCGCGAACACAATTTTTTTTGCAACAATATACCTACCACTAAAGTTATAAACAATTTACTGCATTTTGAGGAGCTATTCTGCTCATCACAACGAATATCCTCATCAGATCTTCACCAAAATCATTCTACCTGTAGTCTGTAGAGGAGTACCAATAAACAGACAGAGGAAAGCAAATTTTGCCAGACTTGAAGCAGAGACGCTTCGCTCGCTCGGTCAATAAATAAAAGTAAACAAAAAACAAACTAACAACACTTTACATTTATATATCATTTATATTCAATTTATACTTTGATAATAAGAATAACAATAACACGGAAATATTTTTAAATTAACAACAACAATATAGACAAAACAAACGTTTAGTTATTTTTTGATAAAAGATTAATGAAATCTATCAATGCAGACTTTAATGTTAGCCAGATACGATAAGATACGTCGTTCGTCCTTTGTCCTTTGATAGGAACAAGTTATTGTAACGTAACTTAATTGCTTACAACCTAGACCTTTTTCAATCTAGAAACCTCTTTAAAGTAATTCAATAAATTATTATTCTTTCAAATCATATGGGCACTTTTTTGTTATTGGGATTCTCCTAAGATTTCTCCTTGACTTCGCCCAAGCCCTAAAGTAGGTACCGTAGGCTACATACTTATATAATTACGTTATTCGTGTACGCATCTCTTATTTATTTAAACTGGTAATATTTTCATGGCATTGATTTCTGTATATTTAGAATATGTATCGATCAAAATTTAACTCAAAATCAAGCGGTTTATAATGTAAAAGAAATTCAATAAGGACGAAAGACGAATTAAAAATTCTCTCATGACCGTCGTTTTAATTACGCGAGTTTTTACAACTAACGTCATAAATAGCTAAGTAAAGCTAGTATGAAATGTTCATCAACGTCTATGAATTGTTGGGAAGAATTAGTGTCATGACATCACCCCGAGTAATTGTCTGACACACACATAGACGAAGTGTCATAGGTTCGCGCTTATCGAAAGTAGCTATTGCGTGTTAGTTTTGGAAACTTTAAACTAGGTTTTAAAATATTAACTTTTCGTTTTAACTTCTTTATGATATATTTGAAATTACATTAAAAAATATTTTGTCAAGTTATTAGCTGTATCGCTTTAAAAACTGATTTAATAGTCATTAAAAGGTTTGTTTTTTTTTAATCTTTAAAATTATTTATACTTAAGTTTTTGCACTCTTGGGATTATGCCAGACCGATCGTATCACAAAACATACATATATATCCATAGCTCATGAAGTAAAAGGTTTACTCATTAAAATAATTTTTGAGTAAGTATTATACAAGTATAGTTTACTATTAGAAGGTAAAGCTTATCAATATCGGTATTACAAATGTAAAAGTATGATTGTTTGTTTGTTTATATGTTACCCAGCAATGTTACAATAATAATATATATTATATAAAATCTGTATAAAAGTTATAAATGTGAAAGTTTGTGAGTATGTATGGATGTTTGTTACTCTTTCATGCCAGAATGAATGAACGGATCTGAATTAAATTTGGCACAGGAACAAATAGATTATAGTCTGGAATAACATAGGCTTTTTATTTCGAAAAAATATACGGTTCAAAAATATAAAAAATGTAGGGATAGAGTTGTTTTTGCTTTTCTAAAGGCGAACCCGAGCGAAGCTAGGGTGAGCCGCTAGTATATTATAAAATAGACGTATTTTTATACATAATTTCTTTAGCCAAAATAACTTTGCTACTTTTAGTTCCAATATTTTCCATGGAGCTAGACACGCGAGGTGTTTTACGGACATCAGAGAAAGAGCGCGTTGCTACCTTTTTTATAAAACGATCGCAATCATAACTAATGTTGGAAGTTTTATAAATAATGAACATTTCGCTAATAAATAATTAAGATTAAAACTAATCCTACATACAACAGCGATATGTCACGCCCCAATTGTGCTAAAGAAAGCAACACGAAATCTTAGACATCTCAGCTTTCAGTAGATCAAGTTAGCAATGCATAATAAAGTTACACATGTTGCTAGCTAGTTTAGAATATTATGTAATAGGAGCATACTCTTGTTTCACTTTCAATTCAATTTAAACTAGTAGTTTTTGCGTATGCGCTTGCGCCGATGTTTTGACATATTATGGAAGTTTTTATAACAAGATTTTTTTATTTATTCTCAGAATAACTTCTTAAATTAAGAGATAGCATTATCATCTTGCCGAACTTATTTTGATAAATATAAACATATTTCACATAAGTGAGATTATGTTTTACAAATTCTTTCCACATACATACATCTCAATTTATTTTACAAATATATCAGAATTCAGAATATATAGCTTTTTAGGGCTCCATACCATAAAGGCTAAAATGGAAACTTTCATCATGTCAGTCTGTTAGTCGACAGACATGACAAAAGATTATTGGAGAGCAGTGACAAGAGAATATTGGAGTTATATTTACTTATGGCAAGCAATATCAATAACTCACGAGGTGAATAAATTTTGACCAAGTAGCAGAAGTAGGCCCTAAAGTTGGACAAAACTTATTTGCCTTTATGAGTAAATAAATAACTATATTATATATTACTGTAGTAATATATACTTAGATAGTCCTTGTTTCATAGTGAAAATTTAAGAAGACAACAGTTTAAGATTATTTTTTATATGCACCGAGTAAAAGATAGGGTGATTCCTCTTTATATAAAATTTAAACCTGTAAGCAGGACAAACATATAAACTTATTAAAAAACCAAAATATTATTAATTAATTTTCTTAAAATATGTGACTAATTATTGAATGACTTAATTTATTTTATTATAGTAAAAAGAATTATATATTCCATATGAGTGTATTTATTTTTGTTTGTACAATTATAGTTATAATTTTAACGTTAACATAGAAATATTTTTAATGTTAACAATAAGATTTAGTTAAACTCTTTAAAGTTATTATCATAGTTAATTATTAAACCACTCTTTGTAATTATGCTCTATTCAGTGTTGAGGTCATTGACTGAAATACATACTTCAATGTTACGAATGTGATATAATACAAAAATATATATAATACCTACTAGCATTCTGTTGATATGTTTCATAAATATTTTTTATTAGTTAAAGTACATATCTACGAGGGAAAGACATATAACATGTTAAATGTAATTTAAAAAATTAGGAATTTTCTATTTAATAAGTAATTTACCAATTAAAAAAAATTAATTGTATTAATAAATATTATAATAATTTTATTAATAAATATTATATTTTGCGCTATTGGATTATTTAAAAACTATAAAAGTCTACGAGAAAAGTCTTCGCAACTTTATCAAGTGTGTGTACAGTGTCAGATAAGATAATGTTCCACTATATTACTTAAATGTGAAGGAAAAAATGTTCTCACTACGTAATTTTTAAGGCACGATACTAAATTGCATCATAATTGGAATCAAACACTACAGTCAAGGTCTTACTTTACTTAACTTAAGCTAAGAGACTGGCGCCCGTGAAGAGCCGCCTCTGCCTAATACATACCTACTGAACTGGGCTCCATTTTCTCACGCGATTATCTCACACAGGTGATCTGTTTTCAATCAAGTTTATGTGATGATACCAACTTTCTTAGACATGACAACACACACACCGCCACTCCCAACTAAAAACTTTGTTCAAACTTTGAAAACACCACAAAACTTTTTATAAACTTCTCGCAGCTGAAGTAACAGCACTTATATATTTATTTGCAACACTTTTTCAACTTTTACGTACAAGTTGTGTTAAAAAAGTAACAAAAAAACACGAAGACCATTATCACGGACAGTAGCGAAACCAAACTACAAACAACTTCAAACAAGATGACAAGAAGGCAGCGGCTGAGCGGCCGCGGCGCAAGCGACGTGCGGCGTGCCACAGATAATAAAGTACAAAACCGTAAAACGTATCACAGAATAGATAGTACAGCGCTATCGATCGCGGTAAAAGTTCAAATTAATTAGATTAAATAAAATTAATTAAAAAAACATATTGAAAACTTTGATCAGAGTATAAATTAAGCGTTTAAGACTAGCGTAAATAATGATCGGTGTTTGGTATTAGTACCGTTTCAGACAATTTACTACCATTAAATATTCATATTTATAAAGGATTCTTAATACTATATTAATGATAAATTGATATAATACAAAACCATTACTTTCATCAACCATCAACCGTTAACCTTTAGACCAAAGTATACACACGCTGAATCTAAATTACTTTATTACTTATATTAAAAAGAGAGTTCATTAACTTGTCTGTCCACATACAGTGCATGTTATGCCATCAGTTAGTCGATTAAATATACAAAGTGTACGCACGTCCCCATAATTCTTTATTATATTTCTTTTTAGTTCTAGATTATTTAGAATAATTTATGATTGTCTGCATTTTATACAATTTAAAAAATATAGTTAGAAACTGAAAATTTTGACTTTAAAATAATCTACATATAATAAACAGTACTTACTGTGGTAAGTTTACTGATTATTATGACCTGTTAAGTTTTTTATATTAAATGAATTATAAGATCTATAGTTAAATAATCTCTTTTTTAAATAGCGATTACTTACATTTGCTATGATTTAAGTGTACTTCATACGGGCCGGTTCTGTACGGCGGTGCATCTCCTATTTCCACGATCCACGTGAGTTGTCGCGTGCGCATCGGCGATGGTAGTGCCATCTTGGAACTAAGTCACTCATCACATTCACTTCACTATTCTACAAGGTATCCATATTGCACACTAGGTGTCGTTTCACATATTTTTATTAAAAGAAAACAAACACTGATCTAGAGACTACAGAAGTATAACTAGGTGTAAGTTTAAAATTAAGTAACAGTTAATTTAATAATAAATGTTGAATATTTTATCATAAATTCAAAATTGCGTGTATATATTTGTCAAGTGTATTTTTATGGTAATAATTATAATTAAATGAATAAAACATGAACATACATACATATACATATTGTAGTTTTTATCCTTATAAATAAAAAATCAAATGGAAAACAAAGTAACATAAAATATAGGTAAGCGTAGTTTAATAAAACAAGCTAACGTTTTTTTAATACGACTACTGTGGAGTTTAAAAGTTAGGTGATTTGTATATTACTTATGTTGTGGTGAATTTTAATCCTAAGTTATTGCCTTCGCCTTTTGACGTTTCGTATCGGCACTGTACATTGGAATGCCATTCCAACATTTTATAGTGAGAAATTATTTGTATGTGGCTACTAAGTATATAGCAATAATAATCTTAAAATTATTATATAAATATTCGACGCATATACAATTTACTTTATGTCATCTACTTGGAGACAAACTTCGAATGGTCGCAAGTTATTACATAATAGCAATAACCGATAGCTTACGGATAACGGGACATCCTCATTTATAGGCCATAGTCTGTAGATATGAAATATGTATATACTCGTATTAACATACATACGTTGTTTTACACTCATATCCTACTGATATTATAAACGCGAAAGTTTGTAAGGATGTATGTATGTTTGTTACTCTTTCACGCAAAAACTACTGAATGGATTTAAATGAAACTTTACAATAATCTTATACATCAGAATAACACATAGGCTACTTTTTATCCCGGAAAAATGTACGGTTCCCGTGGGATAGATTTTTTTTGTTTTTCTAGAGGCGAACCTGAGCGAACCGAGGGTGAGCCGCTAGTAGGTACTTAAATGTACTTTCATGTACGTAGCTTTTAAACATAGTTTCAACCAACAATTTGTAACTTACCGAAAGCTCAAAACTCCTATAAATCTACAGTTAACATTATTTAATTAAAATTTAATACTAATTACGATTAATTCTATCGGTGAAGCATTCAATATTAAAGTAGTATATCAAATACCACAAGCTATGCATTGTAACATTAATATAGATTTAGATTATACATAGACTATTGTAAGCACGCTATGTCGCGTGCACGATGCATCTTTGGTTCCCTGCAAAAATACGGCCACTTTCGCCGACGGCGGTATGTTTAATGCCCTTCGTTTTATTTCTCCTATTTTATCTGCTATCCGGCTATTTTGAGCGCGGTTCACCTTGAGAATCCTCGGCTGAACCCGAACTACTCCTTCCACTATTAGGTATATTTTAATAAAGTTTGTAAAAAATATTAGTACAGTTTCTCATTTATATCCAAAATATTATATTAAATATTCTTATGTATTATTCCAAAATCAAATAAGTTATCGAGAATATGTTGGTATATGAATCCTGTCGTTCGCAATATAAAACTTGTCTTTCATTATTAAAATTTTAAATAACATCAATCACTTAAGTTTTACAATCTTGGGCATATATTGTACGAGAATTTCAGATTACCAATGTCGTCTTCGCATTTTGAACGATTACATATATTGCAAATCATGTTCAATATTCCAATGATTTAAGTTAATTTATCCTTGTATTCATTGAAAATTGTAGGATAATTTTTGACTATCAAGTTCTTTAACGTATTTTATTTCATATCTACAGTAAATAAAAGTATGTAAATATTATTATATATTAAATAGTAAAAAAAATGTAGGTAACCTTACACTCTACCCTCTCGATTCTTGAAATATTCAACGTTACACAGTAATATGATTATTTTATTAAAACGGAGCTACAGTGTTGTCACCTTTTGTTTTATTGAACACGTGTTGACATTTAAATATTTACTTATTTATTATTAAGCTTCAAGCTTTTCACTTTTATTCCAAGATTACTTTCCGTCATATCTATTATCTGCTGATATTGATTGCAATTCCCAAATTCGATTACGAAAAGGCATTTCTATTGTCATCAAAGTATGTATGTTCTTTCACATGTACAGCTCAAAACAGTAGAAATAGATGAATCTGCATGTAAAAATAAAAGAAACTGGAAAATTGAGGCAATTAATTATAAATTTGATTCATGTACCTATATGTAGAGACCGCAAATCTCCTTGAAAAAGTGGTTGCAGGCGAAATAATTTCAACAAAGAGCTGAATTACGTTTTGACAATTGTATTTATTTATTAATTCACCAATTCAAACTATAAAATATATATTAAGGTGTTCATATATAAAAATAAATCAGGTTTCATACACCAAGTTTGCATACACGCAAACACTTATATTCAAGTATATTTGCTTAAGTATTCGCTTAAGAATTTATCAATGGCGCTATCTTATCGAGTATTTCCTATCCAAGTCCCCGCAGCAATGCTAAGAATTAAGTAGGTAGGTCATTACAGTCATATTATACAATCTAGATCGATTGAAAAATGGAATACTAGATACCTATGTACCTATTATATCTAATATATAAAATTTCCATGTCACAATGTTAGTTACCGTACTCCTCCGAAACGGATTTACCGATTTTTACCAAATTTTATATGCGTATTCAGTAGGTCTGAGAATCGGCTACTATCTATTTTCCATACCCCTAAGTGATAAGGGTGGCCCACGTTAGGGACGAACCCGAGCGGAGCGAGGGTGAGTCGCTAGTATTACTATAATTTACAAGCGACCTACCCTCACTTTTCTTATCTTTTTATATTTAAATTTAAACCTTTCCTAGTCGTTACAGTCATTTAAAGCCTTGAGACTCAGTGCTATCAACTTTATGGATATATATTAGTATAGTTTTATCTAATATAAAAAATTCTCGTGTTTGCAACAAGTCTCGTGTTTGCAACAAAACTCCTCCGAAACGACTTGACCGATTCTTATGAAATTTTGTGAGTATATTCAATAGATCTGTGAATAGGACGTAAACTATTTTACATACCCCTAAGTGATAAGGGTGGCCCAACCTAGGGACGAACCCGAGCGGAGCAAGGATGAGTCGCTAGTTTTATATAATATACTATCAGCTCGAGAAAAACAAAAACTCTGTCACACGGAAACCGTACATTTTTTCGGGATAAAAAGTAGCCTATGTGCTATTCGAGACTATAATCTATCTCTGTGCCAAACACCCGGATCCGTTCAGCCATTCTGGCGTGATTAAGTAACAAACTGCCATCCAAACATCTAAATTTTTACATTTATAATATTAGTAAGATATACTCGTACCTACTTATGTATTTTTTATTAATAATTCAGTTTAGTTGTCTTCATTTCTACGACAAGTTTTTTTTGTGAGCTTCTTTAATTTCTTCTTAGGCGATCGTGCTCGAAGGGTCAAGACGAGACCGTTTTAAACGAAGTATACATATAATCTATGGTATTAGTAAACCTACTGTCTATCCGTCCGTCTGTCCGTTGACATTTAAAGGCCGGTTGGTATCTTTTGATCTGTAAATGGTGACCAGTAGAATTTTGAACAGCTAAATATATGTTATAATAGAATATTCTAACGGATATCCTGATTATTATATTGATAGGATAATGTGGTAAAAATAAAAAAAAGGTTTATTTTTATTTAGCTCTATTGTAAAAACGGTAGGTACTTAAAAACGCCAAAAGCCGGCAGTAACTACTAAAAAGTTATATTTTATTAGGAAATACGTACAAATTACACAATTACACAAATATACACGTGTTTTGTATAAAACCTTGGTTGCGTGAGTCCAACTCAAACTTAATCGAATTTCTCTCATATTAATAGGATGGTCAAAATGATATTATTAGTGTGGTGCCTACTTTTTCAAATTTCAGCTGAATTCGTCCAGCCAGCACATACAACATAACACAACGTACACAAATTTTCGCATTTATAAATGTATTTTTTATTATTTAATATATATTAAAATATTAAATACGGTACCCTAAATATTTTTGTTTGTATTTGTCACGACGCGACAACAAGTGGACAGTTCAATGTGTATGTCATGTTACTTATTTCATCATTTTTAAATATCTATGAATATGTATACCCTGGACCGTCTATATTGTGTGGATTATAGTTAAGAAGTAAGAACACTTTCAAAAGCGAAAAATATTAAAGCGCTACACAACAAAGCTTTCACTTATATTAAAGCTTTGTTTGTAAGCTTACGCATATAATGTAAGGGTTACTTATATATAATTTCTTTTCTTCTTATATAAAAAAATAATTTTAAATATAGTAAGTAAGCATTAAAGAAATTTACTTACTATGAGATTAAACTGGATATTATTTAGCAGATTTTTTTTTCACAAACGTACCTCTTTTTATTGGTAGATAATAGATATTTACATTGTACATGAATAATAAGTGCAAGCATCCATAGTAATTTACATACTCTGTTCATATACTATCAATTCTAACGCGGTAGGTACGAGTGTAGAAATGACGCTGTGCTTGAGCTATTAGGGACATTCGCATATGTCGCAACATTGTGGGCACTTGTCATAGACAATATATAGTATACAGTAAGCCGACATCAACAACAGTATGACATCAGTGTAAATATGTAAATGTTTTTTGAATCTTAGAGAATGGGATTAAAAAGAGCGTGTTCTTTTGGCAAAAGTAAGATTTTTAGATACCATACATATTAAAAAAATGTTGATATTATAAATATGAAATTGCATATGTTTATTTAAAGTAAGTTTCAGTCACGTCGCTAAATCGATTTCGATAAAATTTTGTATGGAAGTAAATAGTGTTCCAAAAAAATAAGGTAAAATTACTGTTTATAAATAGTAGAGCCTCCTACCAGATTCATTTTTCGAGACAACAAATACTTCTCAAT